AAAAAGGGCATTTCCTCAAAAATAGTAAGTTTGCTGCTGTTTGAAGTTAAGCACAAAGCTACATAATGGGTTATCTGTGCTCTGCCCACCACGGGTATTGAAACCCAGTTTCTAGCATTGTAAGTCCGCAGACATACTGTTGTGCCAGTGGGGGAGGGGGGCAAATAGTAGGTGAATAGCATCTATCCTTGAGCTTAACTCTGGTATAAAGGACTGCTCTATGACTTGTCAAATGGAGCAAAGATATTTTTAGATTCTTGTGTTTCGATTTTCTTATTGGTCGGTCATATAGAAAAGATTAATTGTATTAATACAGGTTTAGCATTTTCACATAGATTCATTTCTGAATTGAAAGATTCAAGACTGATTGTAGCAGTCTCATTGTTTGTTATATCTCTTAACCTACTGATTGTATATGTATTTTTCTTTTCAGTAAATCATCTACATTAGTATCCAGCTACCTTTCGAGTATAGTTTATTCCACTTTTAACTTCCAAACAATCAATACACTGGTCCTCTGACTGTATGATCAACCATTCTTCTGTCTTCTCAGTCAATTAAAATGTTTATTTTTACTTGAACTTCACACTGAGTTTTATATCTTTTTTTTTCTACCTACGACAAATTGTCTTTTTACATACTAGGTCCTTGAATCTCAAGTTATAGCAGAAGTCGGGTGACTGTATGATAGGTTTTTCCTTGAATTGCTGCATATAACCATGATAAATATATTTAAAAAACTGCCTATTTACCTTCTGTTGCCATATCTTGTACTTATATCTCATACAAGTTAAATCCATTACTTTTCAATGCATTTTAACTTTATAATATAATAATTCCTATCCAGAGCTTAATACAATTTTCTTCTCTTATTTCTAATATATGCTTATGATTTTAATTGAAACTATTATAGACTATAACGCTTAAAAATTCGAAAATTGTTTAAAAGAAAAGATTCTTAGACAAAGAAAAATTAAAACTCTTAGAGAAAGTAACATTGGATGCATCATTTGTCAAGATTGAAGAGACACCAATCCATTGTTTACAATAAAGTTAAATAATGAATAATGCATCACTTTTAAAAAGATACGGTTAAAGTATTCATCAGTCATAAACAAATTATTATTTTAAAGTATCAAGATTAGTGTGTGTATGTGTAATTAGCTTACTTCATTGAAAATTGACCATTGACTAAAGGTCTAAAGCTATGGTAATCATCTTGAAAAAGTTTAGACCATTAATTAAAACACAAAATTTATTATATTCTCTTCTGTAAAATGTCTGAATTATTTTCTAAATCATTAAAATTAATTCTCTTGTGCTATGTATAAGCTTTCTTGTTTTAATGTAGAATTTTTTTAAAATTTGAAATTAATCAGTTATTCTAAGTAGTGTAATTTTCACATAACATGTAGATCAAAAAGTTATTAAGATGCTTTCATTTTAGCTTTCTTTATTCTTTGTCATTCCCTTGAGATAACATCTGGTATGCCTGTAGGAAGTATCGCTGTAAAGTTGCACCTTGTATGTAATAGTAGATAGCAGTTTTCTCTATTGGTTGATCAGGTGGTATCTTGAAGTTATAACTTCCCTAATGTTTCAGCGGGATTGAGAACAGTTACATAAGTGGCACTCTTATCTTGAGAGGTAGTATTATAGAACTTGGTCTATCATGCTGTGATATTTTAGTTAGTTTTCTTTCTCAAGCTGAAGCTCTCAGATTTTAAAGTAGGTAGGAAGGAGAAAATTTTGGTGCTATGACCACAGGATATTTATTACAGAGCCTTTGTTTTCTGCTAATGTATTTATTGCCTTTTACTCCTTCTCTTATGTAATTTAAGTTTAAAAGGCTTAGTTCTTGAAGAAAAACATTTTCCATGAGTTAAAAGACTTACAACCAAGAGGAAGAATGGAAACAACTGAAATGTCTGAACACATTGGAGGAGGCTTGTTAGTTCAACACTTTAGACCTGATATCTGGATACTGGTAAGTCAAGCTGGATGACAATAGTAAACCTAAGAATGCTTTTAGTATGAGAGATGGTTTTTATAAGCTTTGTCTCATGCCTTTTGGCCTACGAAATGCACCTTCCACTTTCATGAAGCTAATGAAGCTTAATATTTGGTTGCTTATTCGAGTGGGTAATTAAAATAGGTAGCCTTGAAACCGAAACCAGGAAACTATGCATTTATATGCAGAAGAGGAATTTTTCAGTCATATTAGGTAGAGAAAGGATATCCACAGATCCTGCTAAAATAGCAGTTATATGAGATTGGACTCAACCTGTAACCAAGCAGTTTTATTGTTTTTATGCAATGCTACTGATGGTTTGTGGCTAACATTGCAAGATCACCACGTCATTATCAAATCTCACTAAAAATAAGACACATTTTAGAAGGAGTGATGAATTTGGGCTAGCACATCAATCTCAGCTAAGGACTAAAGCTGAGTCTGTGAGTTTTTGTTAGATACTGAAGCTAGTGATAGTGGAATCAGAATGGTGTTATCACTTTAGAACGGAGTATAAAATATAATCATGTATACAAGTCACACGAGACCACAGCTTCAGAATGGAAATACTGTAATGATGAAGAAAGAACTGCAGCTTTCATAAAACAATATCAACACTACCTGTATTGGTTTTCAAATGAGACCCAAAACTCGAGAGCTTTCGAATAGTTTACTATTCTTCTTCGGGAGAATGAAGAAGAATAGTGAACTATTTGAAAGTGCTTGAGTTTTGGGTCTTGTTTGAAAACCATTACAACTTTTGCATGTGATCCTGTGTGCTAACTTCTTAATCAGAACACTACCTGTATGGTAGAAAGTTCACTATTCAGCTGAATGCTTAAATGGTTGATGAACTTTAAACATCAAAAGGGGATGATTGCACAATTGGATAATGGCATTTCAGGAGGATGAGTTAGTCATACAGCATTTTCTGGGCCTGTAACACAGAAATGATGAATGGTGAAACTCTGTCCATTTGATGAATGTCCCAACCCTGGATGCTGTGTGAAAGTTGAAACCATTTTTTTTCCATAGTGATAACAAGGCATACAGTAATAGATCCCATTAGTATGTGGATGCCACAAAATTTCAGGAGCTCCAGGAAGAGCAACTGAAGGACCAGAGTTAGCATGACCAGAGTTAGCATGGTAAAGCCCAACCAGCTTAGATTGAGGAATGTAGTATTGACACATAGTCTATGGCACTTATACAAACAGTTACAAGTGCAAGGTGTTGTACTGTGCCATTTTTAGAAACTACTGATCTCTGGCTCTTAACCTGTATTGCAGCTAGTTGTCCCTATAGCTTTATGGCACTAGATTCATAACTCAGAGGCTAGAAAGTGCCAATATGTAATCTGCACTAATGTTCCCATTCTGTGGTGATTATACTGGCTGCATTTGTGTCAAGACAGTGTATGTCATCCATAGAAAAAGCCAGCCTAAAGAGGGTAAACTCTAGCAGTGAATTGTTGATGCTCCTCTGTAAGGAATAGCCATGGATATCTCTGGAAGTAACATACCCATGGAATCATCTACTTCATGAAGTGACCTGAAGCTTATTTGTTGGTTGATACATCAACACAGTCCATAGCTAATGCACTGGCAGAGCACTGGATAGTCTGGTTTGAAGCATCAGAAAAGATCCATAGAGATCAGGGAGCTAATTTCAACAGCCAACTATTCTCTGTGTTAGGTGTGGTAAAGATACACCCTTTGCCTTATCACCTCAGTTTGGTGGTTTAGTAGAATAAAGAATATAGAGTGTCAAGCATATTCTCATCAAGTTTGTTAATCCCAACCATACATGATGATAGTATATTGTGCACTGGACATTGCACAATGTTGACAAGAGTATGTGGAGCGGTTAATGCCTGTGTTGATTGACATACACGAGTTTACTCATCAACAGCTAGGAAAGGATGTCATTTGACAGGATGACATATAATAAAAACAATGAAGGAATAGCTGTAACAGTATGGATATGGGGTGTGGTTTTGGTACATACATCATGCTCTGATAAGTCGGTCTATTATTGTATGAATCACAACAATCAAGAGACATACAAAAGCATGTATCGCATGTAAATCAGCTGCATTCATACATTTCCAAAAAACTTGTGCCTGTGAGTCAGCAGAGGAGACCACAAGTCATAGGAAGATGAGAGTGTGCCTTGGAAAACCAAAATCCAGTAGAGGAGGAAAGAGGAAGTGCCAGATCTGGAGGTGAAACAGCTCTGACAATCAGTCGAGTTGCTCCCACCAACCTCTTGATTCATAAGGCTGGAGTTAACCATTATTACCAGCAGCTAGGCAAGTCATTTGGTTGAAAAAGCAACAACTGAAAGGAAGTAGTGCTTCTTGCTTTTCAAGCTATCAAGTGATGTTCACTGTATAATATATGACATCTGGTGCTAGAAGATGTAAAGCTTAGTGCAGTATGTACAACTGAAGATGGCTAGGATTTCAAAACGTTAGCTGAAATGATGTTGCAACCCTTGTTCTATAAGATATCAGGTGTTATTGTATGGTACATAAAATATATGGTGGTATTATATGTCAAATTCTGTAATGCTATGTTCTCAAGATGTATGCATCCCTTATGTTACATAGAAAGATAAGGATGTTATAACCTTGAGTTAACACCTGACTAACCAACAGAGAAAACTCCTGTCTACTTTAATACACTTAATTTCATACAACCATACCCTCATGGGTGTTAACTCAAGGGAATGACAAAGGCAGCTAGAGCAAAAGCATTTAAAAAAAATTTGTAATCAAGTGTTTCATGAAAACTGCACATACCTGAAATAACTTACTAATTTTGAAACATACTATGATAAAACAAGGTATAAAATACATTGGTATGGCTGCATACCACAGAGTTAATGGTTAATGTTTAACTCATCAATAAACTAAATATATTCAAATTTTAAATTATCATATTTAGTAAATTGAAATAATTGATAATAAATGTTTATTTATATATAGGAAGTTGAGAAGAATCTAACACCTAAACAGTGTGCTGTATTAGATGTGGCCTTGGATACCATTAAACAGTATTTCTATGCTAATGGTAATGGGTTGAAGAAGGCATTTTTGGACAAAAGTACTGAACTGCAGTCATTACGTTATGCCTTGTCACTGTACACACAGACAACAGACACTCTTATAAAGACATTTGTCAGTACTCAGACAAAACAAGGTAAGGTGTTTCACCCAAACTTCTGATTATGAATCAGACAACTCTCAAAACTTAAACATTTTAACACTTCAATGTCATTCTTTACCAAGACTACTGAAACTCTGATTATGGTTTAGAAACAAACATTTAAGTTCATGTCATTGCAAACATATGCTACTAGATATCTTATAAAGGCAATTTTTGTACTGTATCTGCCATTATAATTCATATTTAGAATCACATGTTGCTAACGGTATAATCTAGCTATTTGTTACAACTATTGTCAGAATAAGCCATTTGAAGACACATATTTTTCTCATAGATTCCTGACAGAGTAACATAAACATTTTTGTATCCAGACCAAATATTTTAAGATATAATGAAAAGTGTGTCATTGCATATATAAATTACTGGCATCCTAAGAAGTGCCTTTATTCATACTTGAATGAAAAATACTTCTTCAGAGTGATAACTGACAAAAGTTTTTAGTGATTCTGAGTTTTCCTGTTGTTCTTTAGAGAATCCAGCCACAGAAGAAGGAAGTGTTGGTGAGGTTTCTGTTCAAGTGGACCTCTTCACTCACCCTGGTACTGGAGAGCACAAAATTACCATTAAAGGTAGCTAAAAATTGCATTTCTACTGTTTAAAAGCTATTTTTTTTACATATATCCAAACATTTTGATAAAGCTTTATTCTTAAATTTTCCATATAGGTCCATATTTGTAACTTACCTATTCATACTTATGAAATGTTTTGCACAAACTTAACCTGCCCAAACATAATTTTAATCATACCTGCCCATATGTACAAAACAATTTAAAAAAATTTACATTAGTTTGAAAAAAAAACTACTGTCTTCATTATTACCAATGATTAAAAATAGTTTTGGAATAATCAAATATTATTTTAAACTAGAATATCAAAATTCTGTTTTTAGAAGCACTTTGACTCATTCCTTTCTCTCTGTTTAAAATGGAGCTAATGTAGAATAAAGTAAGAATTTTGCTTGATGCATGTCTTTCCCATAAAATGATATGTTAAGTAATAAAAAGATAAAATATATATCCAAATACTTTAGTTAAATGATGAAATATTTCTGAAACAGAATACCTTGTATTTAAGATTTCTTCTGCATTACAAGAAAAATATAACTTTATGCAATTAACAATCACAAAAGAAAAGTTCTACAGAACCATCGAAACTATAAAAAAATTCCACGAAGTAAAAAGATGAGAAGTGGTTCTGTGTGCCAATATGGTATTTTCACTCTACGTTTAATTCAACTAATAATAGCCTCAACTATAAAATTTGTAATGTATAGTCATGTATTGTAGTTCTTACCAATTAAATTTGTAACTGTCCTGTAAAAAAAAATTTTGAAACTTCAGCTTATCTCATGCTATGGAGACCCTGTTGATTTTACTTTCATGTGTTTATTTATAACATTTAACACAGAGAAAACTAAAAATGTTTCATTATTTAACATCACTATTTCACCATACAGTCATATTATTATTAAAGCTTATCTCCAAGATGTGTGCTACATACAATGAAACTTTTAGTATGAAAGTTGACATTTGGATTGAACTTGGTCACCCACCACCTATAGTTTACATTAGTTCAGTTTTATCTTTAACATTTCAGAGTTGAAACCAGTATGCTTCATATGGCTTTACTTTTGTGGCTACAGAAAATGATGAAGTCTCTTTAACAATAATATAATTATGAATGATCATCTATAATAACTCAAACTGAACTTAGTTGAACAAGTTCATATACAAAATTTTTCAGATAGATTCTTTTAATTCACTCTGAAACTCTTCAAAGTTAGAAGGTGGATTAACATTATCTGTCTTGATGATCTTGCTATTTCATCTCTGGGCTTTTTGTAAGAAAATTCAATAGAATACACTTCCAGAACAAGTTGAACAGGTTCCCAAAGAAGACCTAACGTTTGCTTTAGTCAGATATGTTTGCATTCATATTGACTGTATAAACATGAAATATGTTCATCCAACTTTATTTATATTTCTTTCATCCTATATCAATGCAATATCAAATTTTTTGATCAACCACTCTTCAGTCGATATTTCCAGCAATAAAGTGTTTTTATTTCCATACCAAACTTCATCACCATGTCTTGTCTCTTTCAGTCCACTTGCAAAAAACCACCACACTTATTCTTCCATGTACTAAATCCTCAAACCTCTAGTTTTTGTGGAAATCAGCATGTGACTATGTATGAGGTTAAATAGGACACTTTGATCAAAAACTGAAAAAGACATTCCATAGCCTCTTTGAGTTTTGTAAATGTTTCTCTTTGCACTTCATTGTACTCCCTAAAATCACTTGAGAAATAATTTCAGGATTCATATGCTTCTCTTGGTATCTATCATATCTTTTGATTTACTATTCTATCATTTTATATAAATATCAAAATATCAATGAAATTATCATATATGACACAACTATACAGAATCTTTTAAAGCTAGGATGAAGAATAATCCACGTGAAACAACCAGTGTATAACTTTTAAAAAAAATGAGGTAAATTGCAACAGCCCTTTGCTGTCAGAAACCAAATGGACTGAGGTAAATAATAAACAGGTTATAATATGTATGTAGGAAAGAAAACATTTTGATATTTATATATGACGATGGGATAGTAAATAAAACAGTTTTATATTTAAAGTTAATTCGTTTTCAAGCAATACAATATTTCTTCATCCTAAATATCCTCAACTATAATTATAGTTGAGAAAATTAAGTGTTTTGCTCGAACATACAAGTTTTGATCATGTTGTTTTAATGTAGGACAGATTGCACAAATTAATAAAAAATACTTTCATACAAAAGTTAAAGTTATTTTCATATGGTTTCCAGCAAAACTGTACTTTATTTTTCCACATAACACTATTAATTATAAAAACTTGTTTTCAGTGGTTGCAGCAAATGACTTACGCTGGCCAAATACCAGTATGTTTCGACCTTTTGTGGAGGTTAATCTGATTGGTCCTAACTTGAGCAACAAGAAAAGGAAACATGCTACAAAATCAAAAAACAATAACTGGTCTCCAAAATACAACGAAACTTTCCACTTGTAAGTATGTGTTTCATGTTCCTAAACTGTCAACAGTTGATGAAACAAGTGCTTGATGAAAACAATAGTTATTCTTTACTATTATTTAACTCAGTTATTAGTCAGACTTTTAATAAGAATTAAGTGCAAAAGCAAACAAGATAGACTTGAACTTGAAGATTAGCTGATTACTTTCTTTCTGAGTGTATGAAACAACATTGATTCTTTCACACATTTCCTAATTAAAAATCTCCATTCTCAAATTTTTTAGAGATTACATGAAACAAATTATGTAGAAGGAACATGACTCATAAGGTCACTTAGTAGCTTTAAAATAATTAGTGTTGGATGATGATAATGCCATCTTAACTTTACATATCATTAGTAAATTGGTGATCCAGTTTAAAAGTGGTGTAATGTTCTTAGATTCACTGATTTTCTTTAAAGTAATTGCCACAAATTCTTTGACTTCCACCAATTCTGGAGCCAAAAAAAGATGCAAAATGCACAAAACATATACAAACAACAATCTAAGTTGTTTCTGTGAATTGTTTGGCACCTTTACTGAAAATCTTTCAGTGTTTTTTAAAGCAAATCAATAATCTTATATCGTTCTCCAAGATCATCATCATCGAGACTGAGGAAACATGGCATTATATATTAATAACAGAAATGCCATTGTTCTCAAGCAAGCACTATCCATGCTTCAAAACAAGGGATTGTGTCCTTGACACATTACCGGACTTGCCAGTGAAAAAGTTCACTGTTTATTTATATACATTATATACTGCATTACAGGAAAATTTCATATTAAATTATACTTTCGAAAATTTTATACTAAATAAGGAGGTGTGTATGAAAAATGTAGTATTCTTGCATATCACACCATTAATGGTCAATTATGTATTTGACTAGCCTTATCTTTTCCCACTCATGGTAGTTTCACATAATAAAAAAATTAGTATACCAAATGAAGAAACAAAACTACAGTGTATACAACAGTTAAAATATTATTAGATAAAAGATATGTTTCTGGGGTATGAAAAGGGTTTCTATAGTCTTTAGCCAACTTATTTTTATTTGCATAAAGTAATATAATGAAAACTCTTATAAATTTAACATTGTTAGTCAACCCTGAGATAAAGAAGTTTGTCTGCCAACCAGAGTATAATATCCACTTAAATGTAGGCCCCAATAAATTTTAGGGACTTTCTATTGTGAAAATTTTGTATATAAAGAATATCACCTCAAACAAAAATACATTAAGATTTCTTATTCATATACTAGCTACTATATTTTTTAATTTACTCATGTATAACTATGCAGCTATTAGAAGCTAATCCATAAATATGCATACTGCCATGAATTTCAAGCCATTCTTTGGAATGAATAGATAAATTTGAGAATTTTGTGTACATTAATTCAATGTGGGGGGATTACACATTATTGCATTTATCTCATTACACGTTATTTACAAAGTAATATTTGTCTGTATTTACAACCTATTATGCAAAGAATGATCATTGCATAATTAGATTTGATGTTTACTACATACTAATATACAATAAGATGATACTAGATTTATCATTGGTTAATTAGGATAATGAGTTTAAAAAATTGATGTGGGTTAGATTTGGGAAACTTTTAAGAATAAATTGCTTTTACTTCAAGATAGGCATGTTCTTATTCCTAAAAAGATTAAAGGGATAACAGAGAAGATTAAACCTAATTGACTTACTAAAGACATCAGAGATAATATTAGGAAATCCAAAAGGGTTTATGAGAAACAGCTGGATGATAATGTCAAAACCAACAGCAAGGTGTTTTTAAGCATGTTAAATGTAAGCAAGTTGCTAGAATGGAGATCGAGCTCTTAAAGGATGCTGTTTGCATGTTCCTTGTTAAAGACTGTGAGATGGCTGAGTTTTTAAACATTTCTTCTCATCTGTTTTTACAAGAGAGGATGTTAATAATATTCCTGACCCTAAGAATTCAGTAGGAAATATTGGTGTTAGTAGAGAAATATGAGTGATTAAAACAGATAAAGCACCAGGATCATACAAGGATTTTAAAGGACATCAAAGAACAAATATGAGAACCTCTCTCTTTCATTTTGGTAGATCAAAAGATAAAGGTCAGATACTGGGACTGGAGAATTGTTAATGTTATTCCTGTTTTTAAAGGAAGAAATAAGAGTTGCCTTTAAAATATTATTCAAACTATTCTTACTTTTGTAATGGGAAAAAATTCTAGAAAGTCTGACAAAAGAAGCTTTGCACAATCAGTTAGTGAAGTGTGATATTGGAAAAGAGAATCAACATGGATTCACTAAGTGGAGATCTCCCCTTACTTATTCAATATTTATTTTCAAGGATGTTAATTGTTATCTGGATGATGGAAAGGATACGGACTTGATGTACTTAGGTTTTCAAAATGCTTTTGACAATTATATCATTTTTGGATTATAGTGTTGTATGTTTAGTTAACCTTTGAGTATTCTGCTCAGTTAGAGGAGATTCAGCCAAGATACCGATTATGAAGTAATCTTAAATCTCTAAATAACTGAACCATGTTGTTGAATTGATAGTGAGATTGGACACAAAGTGAAATATGAAATGCATATTCCTTTATTACCACTAATGTGAAACACAATGTGTTTACTTGCTTTTATGGAACGATGGACTATCACTTTTACTGGATTCTCTCATTAAGCTTCATTTCCTTGAAGGTCATGTTCCAGACTGACTAAATCCAATGTTATTTACTTTTGAAGAAATGTTACATTTACCCAGGGTTACAAGTGCTACCCTTGTGACTGGTAATTCCCATTCCAACAAAGATGAGGCTGTAAACTCTAGATGTCACTTGAAATACCATTGAAGAATACTACATCTGCATGCAGTATTGCAGCAGTATCCCCTCCAAGCAAAACAAGTATTATCTACTGAAGAATAACAAAGGTACAATCAATCAAGCCATTAAGGAAGTGCTCACTTGGAATACTGTGTTAATCAAGTTCTTAATAACAGTGCTTAAAAAATGATGATCTACATTTAGCCATCTAATTAAGTACAGGTTCAAGGGTGGGCCCAGCCTTTAACATTGACTGCTGCACTAATTTGGATTTAGGAGCTTACAAGGGGAGAGTATCCCATTGAATTTTTTTTTTCTGTGGTCTGAAATCAGTTTAGAAGGGACTCCCCTAAAGAAAAATTCAAAAACTTGAATATTATTTTAACCATGTAAATTATATTTCAGTATAAACAAAAGTTAAATGAGATTACTTACGCATACTAAGATGATTCACTGGCAATACTGCACTCATTTTTATACTTTTTTAACATTGGGTTTCTTGAAATGAGATTCCTAAAATCCTTAATGTAATATAAATTTAAATGGGCAAATTATCAGGATAACCCACACACCCTCAATATAATCACCTTTTGGGCACCATCAGATCTGATACTGAGTCCATTACACTTTATAAACTGCAAAAGTCTATCTACATTCATATAAGTTACTGTATCACTCTCTGTGAAACTCAAAAGCTCACCTTTCACCTCAAATTAATCTGAAGGTATTTGTAAAATTGGTGGAATTATTAAAGATTTATACAATTCCAGCAAATAATATTTATGATGGAGGATATTTTGTAAGTTTTCCCATATGTAGCCTAGGCCATGATCTTCTTCTTCTTGTTCAATGCTTGCATTCAGAATCTAGACAGAAAAAAAAATCACACAAGCTTCTCAAAAAATGGGTTTGAAATAAAAAATTACTGTACATTGGTCAATGTGCATGTGTGTAAATCTGTGTTTGAGGTTTGTGGTCTGTCTTTATGATCAGCTGCTTATTCTAACTGAAAACATCTTATATATATAGTTATTATTCATACTAAATTTGCTAATGTTTTATCTACTTATTGACACATTGTACTAGAACATCTACCATAACTTCTTTGTAACCTTGATGATCATATGACCCATTTTTGTACTATTTGTAATTGTTTTACATTCTGGTTTGTTATTGTATTAAATATTGCCCACACCTTATTTCATATCTTTACTTGTTATCAGTCAGTGTCAGTTTTTTATAGGGCTGTGATTCGTTACAGTAGGTGTCTGTGACTTGTTGGCAATAAATTTCAACAACGAACAGACAGCACAAAATTCACTTGTTTTAAAATATTATATATTCAAAACAAGTCAAACGTATGTACAAAATTCATTACACTATTGGTTATCACAGTTGTATCCAAAGCTTCAGATAATTATCTCCTTTTCATCAAAGCCCACACAGGTGAGTTCAATTACTTTAGAATACCCTTTGACAAGGCAAATTATTCTCCTCTGTTTCTGTTATTACAATACAAACTGTGAAAATCACTTTAGAAATCACCCATTACGGCTAAACTCACGTGTAGTCTGTCTTCACTTTTTCTTTCACTTTCACTAACTTACTTGCTTAAATTTGTCACTTATATATATATATATATATATATATATATTGCCCAACTGAGGCCTAGAACTTTCTACAAACTATGAGACATTATGATGTAACAATACTCACTTACAGCAATGAGAAAAATTCAGAGGGTTTGAGTAACATGGCGCCAATTTACAACAATTTAACTATACAACAAATGAATCGTAAACAGATACATAGTCAAAACTGCAATAAATTATTACTTCTAAAAATAATAAATTTAACAGTCGCACTTTATAACTATCTAAGTCATAACTCCCATATTAAATTTAAATGAAACAGTTTGTTTATCTTTTACTTCTTTACTTTCTTTTTGTGCTCTCTCAGTGACTTGTCTTATTTGCTTCTATGAATTTATGATAATTGATAGCAGACTGACATTTTTAAACATGAATTATAAGATATAATAATACAGAAATTTAAAAATTCTAAAAGTTTTTTGATAAGTCTAGTCCTATAAAACATTTTTGACAGCATTATTGGAAATGAAGAGGAGCCCTCATCTTTTGAACTGCACATTTGTGTGAAAGATTACTGCTTCGCTCGTGAAGACAGGTTGGTGGGTGTGGCTGTCATGCAGATGCGAGACATAATAGAACGAGGAAGCTGTGCATGTTGGCTCACTTTGGCTAGACGAGTTTACTTGGACGAAACAGGGTGGACCATCTTGAGAATACTGTCACAGCGAACTAATGATGAAGTAGCCAGGGAGTTCGTCAAACTAAAGTCTGAAATTCGAAATGATGAAAACTTGCAACAAACACTGAAGAACTGAACAACTAATAACTGGTAACTGGAATAGTTGAGGTTCATCTTCATTTACACACACAAGTTAAAGTTTATATCACTATGCCATGGCTACAGTTACTATATCAGGTTTTCTCAATTTAGCTTCTACATTAACTATATTTTAAGTTTCATATCAAGAAATTTTAGGTTAAATTTTTATACTAAAGTTTGTACCATAATTTTGAGATTAAAACTGAGCTTTTTGTTAAGCTTCTATTTACATGTACACTAAAAATTGAGTATTTATTTCCCTTGAACCATGATTTTAACACTAAAATTGAGCTTCTACATTATCTATATACTCAGAATTGAATTTTAATTTCACTTGAACCATGGCTTTGAAACTAAACCAAAACTTCCATTTGAGTTTCTACATCAACTAATTTTAAATTAAGGCCATAATGACACTAAAACACAGATTCTGGTTCGTGCTTTATATCATCTCTAGATGTTCTTGTTTCATATCATATATATACCATGGTGTTAATAATATAGTAATGCTTTCAGTGAGGTTTAGATTCACTTAAACATCTTATATTGGAATATCACATCACCTTGAAACTCTCATCAAAACTAAAGCATAGGTTCTGGTATAGGCTCTAAGTTACTTACACCCTTTTGTTTCATATCTCCAAGACCATGGTGTTGATACTGTGGTATAGCTTTCATTGTAGGTTCTACATTGCCTAAAAATGGCATTGAGTCTGAAGCAGAGCTTCCAAGTTTGCTCATTCAGTATGTTTGGAGGTGTAGTTTAAAGGGGTAAAAATGCTAGATAGATAGATAAAGTAATAACCTTTTTCATGCATTTATATTTTTGTCAGAGGATGAAGTACAGTGTGTAAAGATATCAAAGTTGCTCCTTGTGAATAATGTGGAAATATTCCATATCTAGTTTTCTCATGTACTGCATATCTGCTGTAGTATGTGTTTTTTGAGATGTTGCATATACCTGAAAGTCACTCTCTAGTATAGGTCTTCATTATTGCAGGTCTCCTGCACGCTGTGAATATCTGAGAGCTGAAAGTCTATTTTTTATAACAAAGTACCTTGTTCTAGTGATGTAAAAGGAACTATTCAAGAATGTAAAACCCAGTCACCACACTGATCTGTTTGTGCCAACCAGAACTCCCTAACCCTCTCTATTTAATAGTCTCTACTTTTCTTAAAATTAACTATAGTCAAGCAGCTTAAAAGTCTATATTTTTCTTCTCAAGTCCACATCCCTTGAAAGTTAAGTGTGTGAGTTTATTGTATAATTATCTCAGGTTTCAAGCACATCTGAATAATGCTAAATAATAAGTTGTATTTGATATTTTCTAGATTTGAGCCTTTTAATATAATTATTATTGCAAGTGGGTACGTGAAATGTACATAAGTATTCTTGAAATTTGCTGGTAATAACTGTTTATAATACCGTAATAAAAGATTGATTCTAACAATGGTAATATTTGTTGTAAATAGAAAGAGTCAGAATGTACTAACATTCAAACGCATATCAAGAAGATATATAAATGGTTCCAATATGGACAAAGTTGAATGTTACAGATTGTTGATTATTTAAAATATCTGTTTTCACAACTTGGTAACATTTATTAATCTTTGAATAGAAGCACAGTTCTCCTTTCTGTAATTATGTCACAAGTAGTGGTGTTGTGTAATACTGGATTAAGGATAACTGTTATTTCAAATGTTAGTATTCTTAGTTAATCTATATTTTTAAAAGTTACATTTTGCTTGTTCTTTATTTATAATTTATCCTTTTTCTATAAATGTTGCACAATAAAATGTTTTTCTCAATGGTTCTTATTGGTTTGTGGATGATGCAGAAGTATTATAATATAAAACAATAATTTTTAAGAGAAAATGCAAAGATATCAGTTTTTAATTATACAGCCATTTGATTAACAAGATTTACCTAACAAAAAACTCTTTTATATATATGACAAAAACAAAAGTATTATGAAATATATAAAACAGGTTAGTGTAATGTTCCTTTTATTGTCTGGATTTTTATTTTCATAATTAATTCACATTACATTTGAGGATGAGAAATTTTTTTAAAGTAATAAAAAAAACAGTCAAATTAAGGTCAAAGATTGACCAGAAAAATTTAAACTTAAACACATTAACCTCATAGATATTACTGATTAATTACAGTTTTTCACTCTTACTGCTAATCCATTGTTTCTGTGTCACCTCCAATTGAGCAGTGAAAAAAATTCCCAAATCCAGTATCAATTTATACTTGCACTTTATCAGTGAGTGTTATGTCATATACTACCATTATACAAATCAAAGTTAAACTTATTCCTAACAGTTAACATAAAACTGAAACCAAAATAAAAGAAGACATAGTAACTTCACTGCATGAGATAAAATCTTATCATGGAACTAAAATAAGACATTATATTTTGTTTGTGTAGGTAAATAAACTGAAGCTGCTCTAAAGGAAACTAAGATCTTCACCATGCCAATATAACCATGGCAGTATAAAGATAAAACTATTAGAAGAATGAGGTTTTCAATCACCTAATTGGTGATTTAGTGCAACCAAACTAAAATAAGACATTATATTTTGTTTGTGTAGGTAAATAAACTGAAGCTGCTCTAAAGGAAACTAAGATCTTCACCATGCCAATATAACCATGGCAGTATAAAGATAAAACTATTAGAAGAATGAGGTTTTCAATCACCTAATTGGTGATTTAGTGCAACCAAATCATTATTGGTTTTAGTTTTCTGGGGAGTTGATCTACGAGTAGTTATTTCTAGTCATTTTTTTATTACATAGACAAAAAATCAGTATGGTAATGATTATAGCTAATTAAGTATACTGTTCATACTTATAAAGGTTAGAATGCATTGTTTCATCAGTTGGATACCCTTGCTGTTCACAATATTTTCAGTCATAAACTCAATAATATCTTGGGAAATTAGGCCAATTTAAGAGACTTAGGTTAGTCTTAAATCCATATACTAAGCTAACAATGTAAAATTATTTCTATAATAAAAATATAACAAGTAAAAGTCAAGAATGATAAAATTAGTTATATTAATCATTCTAACTGATGCTCTAATGTAAGAATCATTAAAGAAAGAATGGCGTATACTTTATTTATGGAACATTTTAGTTCTGAACTCTCAATAGTTAGCTTAATTTTGATCAGAAGTTTGTAATAATAACAGGAAGAACATATGAAAAGATAAAAAACATGCTGAGAAGAAGATGGCCAAAAGAATGTGTGTGCCCATGGTAGCACCTTCTAAACAGTAGGTAGCGTCTAACTAGAGTTTCCATCTAAACAAGAAGATTATGACTCAAGTCATGAAGTACCCTTCAACAAAGTGTAGAAGACATTGAAATAATTAAAATCTTTGTGGAACTCCTTATAAGCAACATACAAACAAAGAATATAAATGAAAGTTGTGACCATTTTTCATTGTTTATATCATTTCTCATAACTTGTGTCTATTCTACATTCTTATGGTTGTATTGAGGTTGTAATATAAAGTGATCACCTCTTACAGTTGACATAGAAGATGCCATGACACCTGCACAACCAAGGGCAGTAAAGAAACTCTAGCAATTAGTCAGAAAAAATAAAATACAGAGGTTCAGTACATTATGTTAAAACGATTTTGAATAGCCAAATCAGCCAATATAAAGTAATAGTGAATGGCATGTACCAGAACTACAATTTGACATTGTTTGGTATTTCATAGGTAGTGTGATGCCAATGAAAATTAATCGCTTTGGGGAAGTGTATGTAACAGTCTTTTCCAAAGCAAGATATTCATATACTCAGATCATAAAGATTTATTTAGATCAGAGAGTCAGAATTTCAAATATGAAGATACCTCATGTACTTAATGGCACAAGAATTCAAAGAAATATGGATCAAATTTGGGAACCAGTAACATCCAGGAAGAGACCTGCAACAAGTTGTACCCCATCTATGGTAAGCAAAGTGCAGCATCTTGTAACAGGTGAGAATCCATGAATGCAATGGTCAGTGGCTTCATCTGGAAATGAGGCCACAGGGTATGGATTCACCGAGATAGAGCTTCCAGTCACATCTCCTAATCACCCACTGCATACCTCAAGTAGCTAAAAAATGAACTGGATATTCATTCTATTCCATATGAAGACATACTGGACAAGTTGCTGGACTAAACACCTACAAGATCAGACTGGGTAATCAGACTGTTGAAATGGGTGCTGAGAAAACTTGTCACTCTTGTCCACTAAATGGGTTATAGAAAGCAAACATGAAAGAGTGGCATACTTTGGATATGATGGAACCTTTTGCAATGGAAACTATGTTGAGGTTTATTGTTAAGATGCATGATCACAAGATATAACATGACTGGACATGGTGACAGGAACTTTAACATGATATAAGATTTAAGGGCAACAAGGGGCCTTTTAGTCTATCAAGGCTGTCCCATCCAATTAAAAAAAAATCAAATTCAGCCCTGATCAGTTAAATGCTTATCATATTGTGGTATTTTACAGCATATTGATTTCACACAAACCAAAAAGTTAGTGCCCACTAATTGGTGGTTTAGAGAATAACACACTATGACTGAAGAGAGTTGAAACATAAAATGCATAGAACAACGACAAGGTGTTTAACTGGAAAATTAGCTGTGGAGAAATATTTAAACAATTTCTCTTGCCAGTTCACTGTGAGACCCCCCCACAGTAAGGTCCACGACTTGAATGTGGCCAGTAAAGCTCCCATCACATGCTAGCACTAGTGCATGTAACACCTTGGTGGCCTCCAGTCCTTGCATTATGCAGCCTGAAGAATTTCATGACTCAAAGCAGCTCTGGAGCTACTAGCTACAGCACGAGTTCAGAACTATGTCTGTTGTTGGTTGGTAATGATGGTACAGCACACTATATTCCTCATTATAAGTAGGCCACATTTCATTTTGATGCATGACAAGGTGCACCCATGCTAGTTCTGGGTCCTTCAATCGCTCTTTACAGAGCTCCTAAACTATTAGTCATAGTATCCAGTCACTAGTGGAATCTTCACAGCATCAAGATAACAAAAATGTCTTTAACTCATACATAGTGTCCAGGATCGTGGTATTCTGTGAACAGATGGGGTCACAGTGTGCAACAAGACAATCCATTGACATTTTCATGTTGTGGGCTCAGATGATGCAGTACTTCATAGTCATACATCCACAACATTTCTATCGAATTTTTGGTCATCCCTTTCAAATTTTTAAAGCTTATGAACTACTTCAGCTACAGTTTTCTACCCAAATTGTGAACTTATAGGTAGTGTCAGTAGTGGTTTATGAAGACCAAAACTGTAAGTAGTTCCATCTTTGTCATGAAGCATCAACATTCAAGTGTCATAAGCCTAAGACTAGAATATACCTTTACATGTTCCACTCCACCTTTAAACTGTGCTAAAGCTGCCCCAATTCCACTGTAGCTAGCATCACTACCCATCCAACAAGATAACTCATGTTTTGGGTTATGCCAGCAATGGAGCTTTCACTAAAATATGCTTTAGAAATAAGAATGCTTTGTTACATTTCTCAATGTTAAAAATCCTGGGTTCGATTTCCTGCAGTTGATGGAGTACATATAGCCCATTTTGTAACTTTGCATTTGAACACCAACAACAAGCCATGATAGTGTATGTGTCATCCTAGTTGAATGACCCAGTTCAGAAGGTAATTAAGGTGAGAGGAACTTAGTAGCTCTGTTGTCTGTTATATACTTAAGCACATATATATAATACCTCGAGAAATCTTCAGAAAGTTTATACCAAATAAGGCTTACGTGCTACAAGAAAACATAGAACATACCTTATATAAATTTCAAAGCAATCAAACTTATCATATCTGAAAATTCCAAGCCAAATACATTTATTACTTTGAAAATTTGTGCTCTTGTATATATATATCACATTCATGTACATAATTAAATGTTCACAAACTATTTCAAATATATAACAGAAAACTCACTTGTGCTGTTGCATTCACATCTATCATCACATATTAGTTACTTAATCTCTGAAAAAACGAAAGGTTTGTGGATGTAATGTGCAGCAGTTTGTAACAGGCATAATAAAAGAGACAAAACCAATTAACGATAAAATAAAACAATTATTTACTGTTGTAATCAGAGAGAAAAAAGAAGGATGGATGGCCAAAGTAGCAAGAAAATGAATGAAATAAAAATAATCAGATAGGATGAACATACAAATTAGCACAAGAATATGATGGAACAAGGACAGAACTTCTACAAGCAAGAATTGGTTTTCTTTAAATGATAGAAATGATCTCCTTAAAGGTTAGTTTGTTTTTTCTCATAAATGCTAAATTTGCATATCACGTTTTCCTTGCAGCTGATCAATCAGAAAAAGGCAGTGGGATGTGGAAATATATCTGTTCCATGTGACATCCATAAGGTACCCCCTAAACACAAGATAAAGAAAGGCACAATGCAACTATCCCATGAAACAATAAGTTCCTTGATCATTCATACCACAAAAATGTAAAACCTCAGGCTGAACTTGTCACATAACTTCTACTGGATTTAGTACTCCAAAATCAGGGTTTAGAGAAATTTAAGAATGTTATAAATAAAACGTGTACGCTATGGGAAAGCAAAATGTGTAGCATTTACACACCACAGACATACATCAAATCCACAGGGAGTTTTATTTAGATTTGAAGAATAACCATATGACTATTGATCAGTTGTGCGGTATGCCATCATGCCATATGGTAGATGCTCATTTCACTCAGTTTGTTCAAGATTAATATGCTCAGTAAAAATATGCTTGACAGCCTTTACTGCCAAGTCAGCGAAAACATCAGAGTATAATATGGTGAAGT